TTACAAGATGGATCCACTTCAGAATGTCTTCAGCAATTTAGGAGGCAGCCAGCCAGTTTCTGTAAAACTATTTGCAGGGTTGCAACTTAGATATGTTTGTGTATCTGCTATGTAAAAAGTGTAAACTGATAATGCGGCTATGTATAAGATGTCCCAATTCCTGAATATAAATAGAAAATAATGTTCTCCAAAGCAGTGACTTGAAATGGCTGACCTGAGACCACCAGTACAGAAGATCTTTATTCCTATTTTTCTAAAATTTTGTGCAAGATGAAATGCAAACTCCCACTGTTAACAAGTACATCACCAACAGCTTTTTGATTTGGTGACTAAGTGATTAAACACACTAGGCTGAGCCCTGTGTTATAGAGAAGCTGAAAACATAATTATTAAGAGGAATAGAGAATACAGTACATTCCAAGCAAAATCTAATTTTAATCTGCACACATACATCCACACAGTGTCGCCCAGAGTTGGGCAGATGACAAAATTGTGGCCATGCCAACATGTGAATATGGCAGAATGAACTGTCCTTCAGGTAGCTGAAGCCCCATGACAGTGTCCCATTATGTACATTAATGATAATGCCTCCTATAATTCCAAACTAAAATTCATAATTAGAGCCTCACCTGAAACTGACAATGCATCTGTTCCCTCATCCGCCTGCTCTGCTTCTCTTGCCTGATGCTGTTTCCTACAGGCAAAATAATTAATTCATTGTCATTTTCATAATTTGATACATGACTAGTTATCAACCCATTTTGTTTACTCCTGCTAGCCTGTAGATAACAGAAGACAGGGTTAACTTGCTAGTTGACATTAGCTAACATGATTAAACAACCAGCATAAAAACTGGTGACACTAGATAGCTAGCAGATTTTCATTTTAAATCAACATGGCTACTGGCTAGTTAGTTAACTATCCAGCCTATTAGCTACTTAAGCTCTGGATGGCAAAAAAACTCTCTAACTTTTTTGGTGGAACAATATTATTTATAAATGACGAGGTGTAGCATGGACAAAGTTATGTGTGTTGTGGAGTGCAGAAAATAAAACAAAGGGAAAATTATATGCAAGACAAAATTTTCACCCAGGTATTTAGGTATGGACTGACCATTATCAGCACATTGACCGACAGCTATTGCCTCCTCCCTGTCTGAGAGCAAATACAGCATTTGTGGGGAGGTGGCAGTGGTGCGGTGGGTAGAGCAGTTGTCTCCCAACCAGAAGGTTGAAGGTTTGAATCTTTGTGCCAGCAGTTCATGTGTCGAAGTATCCTTGGGCAAGACACTGAATCCCCCGTTGCCCCCGATGGTTAGAGCCATTGGTTGAGGTGATGCCATCGGTTCTGTACCGGAAATAAATTCCTTGTGTGTAACATACTTGGCCAATAAAGGTGATTATCCTAACATCAGCTTTTAGTCAGTCAAATGCTAGATATAGATGTAGCCTCAGGAAGGGCCCATCATAATGATCTAATATGACTTCACTCCAAAGCTAATATGAAAGAATTTGCTCAAATATTGGTAGGGACATTTCTGTCCTCCCAAAATACTGGGAACAGCTGTTGTCAGTGCACTGGCCATGTTAGCTCCTGCAGGTCATGTTTACAACCCTCTCTGCACTGATTCTTCTTCACTTCTGTGAATGGCCGCACCACAGAAGTAAATTTGCTAGGCAGGTTTTAGTCGAACTGCTCCGTACATTAAGAGGCAGGTCTTGGCTGGGCACAAGTTGTGAGTGTCTTTAAGCCATTTTAGTTGATATAAAAATGTGCAGCAGTGCAACGTACATCTAAAACTGAATGTCATTCTGGTGTCTTTCTCTAGCCATGGTCCACATTGCTCAGTGGGCTGTCTACAGTAAACATGTGTGCGAGTACTTGCAATGTTTTTGCTTTTCCCAACTGGTATGTCAATTTATACATTATTGCAAGGTTGTATTAATTATTTTATATGTTTTTCTTTTATTCTCAATGATGTCAAAACATATGTGAGTTGTATTTGTATTTTATATGACTCCTAGGCCAAGATTCCAGGGGTGGGCTTTTTGAAGATTCATGCTCCCTGGAATGTTCTTTGTCGAGAGGCTGAATTCATGAAGCTAAAGATGCCCACTAAGAAGGTAAGACATTCGCTCTCTCGGCCTATGTCTGGGTAAAGAGGCCACTTCTCTTTTATGACTTTATTCAGGTTACCCAGCTTTATTACTACCTTTCTGTATGTGTGCTGTGTTTGTTCCAAACAATGTACTCATTCATGTTCAGGGTTCAGGAAATGCAACAACTTAACTACATTTCCCAGTAGCAGTTGTTGACCTTACTTTTTTCCTTAGTATTACTGTAGCATAACCAAATGCTACAACGTGTGTATGTTTTGTGGGGATTCCTAGGTGTTTGAAATCAAGAATTCAAGCGGTGTTACGGAGAAGATCAGCTCTCTGGTCAGTAAAGTTCTGGAGCCACTCCACCCTCAAGTTGAGGAACATCAACCCAAGAACATCAAACATCTGTCACACACTTTCTGCAGAGAAAAACAACACCTGTAAGTACACCACTAATATTTTGATGGAAAAGTTGGAAACTTTTGGAGCCTGTCATAATGAGTGTTGGCAGAGGGGTGTTTCTTACTGTGATCAGAATTTATTGTGGAAAGACTTGTCTGGATTTAATCTTGCAAACTGAGTCGAGATGTAGTTGTCTCATAAAGCAAACACATCCTATACATAGTATATTTACAGGCTGACTGGTGTTAGCCCTGTGATAGACTGGTGACCTGTCCAGGGTGGACCCCGCCTCTCACCCAGTGTCAGCTAGGATTGGCTCCAGCCCCCTGCAGCCCTATTCAAGAATAGGTAGTATAGATAATGGATGGATGGATTTATCCATTTTAAATTATTTTCTGATATAGGACCCTTAAAAAGCTCATTTTGGCCATACCAAAATCTAGGCTGAAAGGTAAAAACAAACAAACAAAACAAGACAACAAAACATCAGCATTGTGGAAATGTCATACCTGTAAGTTACTTTCAGAACTGTTGTATTACCATAGTGGTATACACTACAGTAACAGGTCTTAACTTTAACAGGCAGTAACAACAAAGACTAACAGGTGTCTGTGCTTTTGTGTTTGACCTTAACAGGTTTGACCTCTCAGACAAAGATTACTTCTTTGACAGCAAAACCAGGAGTTCAATAGTAAGTTCTTGAGTGTTACAAGACTAGACGTGTTTGTATTGTATGAGGCCTTTCAGCAGTGGCTTTACAGCCTCCTATACTGAGTGTCCCAGATTTTGGCGAGTGCTGTCACACATTGGGAAAGGCAGTCTGGGATGGAATCAATAAGAATCCAGAACTGTCAGTGGCCAGAGTGTAGTAGCTTTTACCCTCAGTCTCACAGAAGTCCTGCACCATGAACTTTCAGCATTTTGGCTCAGTTTAAACGTAAACAACTAGGGGTTTGTTGCGGTCATCATTGCTAGCACAGATTAAAGCTTTATGATAGTTTTATTATAGTGTTACACAAAAATGACCTATGAATATTTTCTGGGAATTAGTTTTTCAGCCACATGGTGATTCAAATTCTGTTCTTATGTTTTTCATTCTCTTTCAGGTTTTTGAAATACTAAAAAGAACAAAGTGCAAGGCCAAGTACAGCATGGGTAAGTCTGGATCTCTGTCTGTCTCAGTGCTTGACAAAGCTAAATTACACATGATGAGATTAACTTTGTTTTCAGTTTTATAAATCTGACTGCTCACACAGTGCTTGCTAATTATAATCCAGGTCTCATCTGCTTGTACTTTGAGTTAAACAGGAGTATTTATTTCAAAATCTATTATTTAATCCAAAGCGCTTTATCACTGTTCTTCACATTTCGTCTTGCTGTCTGACTAATAGTAAATTCATTTTTTTCCATGTCCTCTCCTTAGTGCCATTGGTCACCAGCAACCCCAACTATTATAAATTGCCAATCTTCTGCATTACGTCTTAACAAACCATTTACAATATTTAACCAAATAGATTTGACCACCCAACAGTGTAAAAATATCTTAATTCAAAAGCTAAAGTACTTCAAAAATGCAATCATTTCTACAACTCTGACAGCCTGTTGGAAAACTACAGTAACAAGATTGCTTCTGTAAATCATCAGTACAACAGTGTAGGTTCATGCTAATTTGGTATAACCTTAATTTCCAGTCTCACAACACCCCTGTTTGCTTTCTCACATGTCAACACAAAGAAATCGCTCATCTTCATCCATTGTTCCAAAAAGAACAAATTCATAACATTCAACAAACTAACCCAGAGGTGTGGAGTTGGGAGACATCAGTTAATCAGTACTAACAACTTCAATTCACTATTAAGTCTAAGATTAACATAACCAGCCACCCACTCCTCCTTTCCAGTATTGAAATCATTTCATGAAATTTTGACTTAATAAAGTCACTGACCTAAACAAAGTAATCTCTAAACTCTATAAACTGATATCTAACTGAGATACAGTAACTCAGTCCAGCAACAAAACAAAACAAAAAAAATGACCCTGCTATCTTTTCCAACCGCAACTTATGTCTTCTCTGTGATGTGGAACACAAATTTACAACTTTAAAGTATAAAACTATTCCATCCATAGTGGGATGGAATAACACAAGATGGTAAACATTGGTTTAACTGACACAGGAATTAAAATAACTGCTCAAAATGCTCTTTGACCAGTTATTTTAATGTTATGTGCACCGGCCAGCCAGTTCACTCTCTTTGGTTAGTGGTAACTGCGAGACTCTCCTGCATCGTGAGCTGCAGAATCTCACTGGTCGTATTGCCCTGCTGCTTAGAGATATCACATGAGAGGAGCTCCCAGTAAAATACAGAGATGTGCTTCTCATCTCTCTATTGACAAGAAAGCAGTGCTGCTAGCTAGAAGTCCAAGTAATAATCATTATTAGTGTTGCTGTTGTCAGTGATAGTAATCATTCATTTATTATTGTAGTGGTGTAGCCAATGATAAATGAGGAGGAGAATGATGATGATGCTGGGAGTTAATTATTTATCATTATAACCCCAATGGACAAGCTCTCTTTTTAAGGCTGCTCAGTTTATGGATACAGAATGCAGCCCCCAACTATTTCTTCTCCTTCCTTTTCCTTTCTTCTTCTTATTATCATCATCATCATCATCAAAGAACATAGATACATATATACACACTATTTTCTGTTTGTCTTCTATTTTACACGCACGCATACTCAATTACACACACAACAAGTAAAAGAATTGAGAGGCCCCGTTTTAAGACCTGTACCTCTGTTCTCTTTTAGCAGGTTTCACCAGCCTTCTTGGTAGTGGTGTCTATACAGCAGCTTACCCTCTCCATGATGTGAGTAGCACCAAACCTGACACTAATAGATTATTCTTATAGGTGATTACAGATCATGTTTATCTACTGTACTTGTGTTTTAAAGTTGTTGTAATTACAGTAGGCACATTTTTTGTAATCATGAGAAGATGGGGTGAAAAGATGCCAGCACTAGGCTATTTTAGCTCTACGTTTAATGCATCCTACATGATTAAATGCTGGTTTGCAGTGTCCAGTCAGTGTGTACAATAAGTAGCTTTAGCATTTTTCTGATATTTTTCAGGGAGATATTAATGAGGAGAATGCAGAGCCCAATGACAGGAAGGTAAGAAAGTTATTTCTAAAATTGTGGAAACCAGTCTAAAAATCTACACATGCTCATGGTCTGCATCTGCATAGCTTTACACTCATGCACATAGTGAAACACATGACTTGACCACATAATAATTTGTCACCACATACATTGTCCTGCTGCTGGATCTACTCACCACAGTGTGTATCAGACCCATGCCTAAAATAGTTTCTAAACAAACTGCTGTTTTTGGCAAAAAAGCTTTACAAAGCAAAAAAATGCCAGCACCAGATGCTGATAGCACACATGTACTGTGACACACCTATGTATCTTGTGAACATAGTGAACAAGCTCAAGAACCACAGGAGCTGGTCAAAAGCACAGTAGAGACCAAACATAGAGCTAAGGAATATTGGCCTTGATGCTTTCAGATGGCCAAAAACACTGAAATAGAGAGATAATGTTGCTCCATAACTGCTAGTGTGTAAATAAGCAACAGTTTTGCCATTTTTATATTGCACTGTAATGAGGACAACCATACTGTATGTGTGAAATGCAGTATGTCAGTATTTTGTTCACACTTGTTTCTGGTAACACTTTATTTTACAGGTCTACTTTTTCCTAATAAATTCTTTAAAGTGTCTTGCAAAGAACCATGTAGTTTGTTATTAATTACAAAAAAACAGACACAGCATTCTAAGTTACTTTCTTAGTTAGCCCACTGATTTGTGTTGACTTTATTATTGGCTTCCAGATGAATTTTCATGAAAAAAATCATTGTGTTAATGTTTACTGTTTATATATAAATTATTTTAAATGGCATTCTTTATTAATGCTGAATTGGATGATTGTTTGAAGAAAAATATAATATTTTAAATGTGTTGTTCACCTTCTGTCCTCTGAAGAAAGCCTTGTGTGTTTGCTAGCATAGCATTTAAAATTACTGGAACTGTGCCAACTCTGTTACTTTCTAATTGTACTTGTAATTAGTACCAAATTATATGGTTCCTTTCCAGGAAACCTCTTAGGAAATAATTTAGAAATAATTATAGACCTATAAAATAAAGTGTTACCCCTGTTTCCATTTCTTCCAAATGGCCAAAATATTAGATATTGCAGGTTTAGGTCAGTTACAGGCAAGGAAAAAAGAAAACTGTGCCCACCTGCTAAAAGACAAATATGGGAGTAGGTCTAGATGGTTAATGCAACTAAATACTGTTGTCTTCCCCAGCTTTTATATGAAGAGTGGGCCAACTACAGTGTCTTCTACAAGTACCAGCCAATTGGACATGTGCGGTAAGAACATATGTTTATAGCGTTATAATTTCCAATTAGTTTTCTCTCCATTTTGGTCCTCCATCCAGACTAAAAAGTTGTTTTTCTCAGTAAGGGAGCTTTTCCAGATTGTCCTGTAGTGTGTGTAAATCTTAAAACGCCCGCTTGGTGTCTGTCGGTCAGGGGCTGTGTGGCACAGTACTAGTAAATTTAACAACTCTGTACAAGTAAATCAGCACAGTTCAGATGTTCTGATGCCAACATGTTTTGTCTGACTCTTTTTTGTGTTATTTAGGAAGTATTTTGGTGAGAAGATTGGTCTGTACTTTGCCTGGTTGGGTCTGTATACCCAGATGCTGATTCCTGCCTCTCTAGTGGGGGTCATTGTCTTTCTTTATGGATGTGCAACAGTTGATGACAACATACCAAGGTAAACATGAATGCATGCAGTCTTTTGAGCTATATTAACAGGATACCTTAAAGTCAGTCAACAAAGTGTTAGTGGTCATGATTAAAAAAAAAAGAAGGCAAAATACAACTGTATTTGGAGCAGAGTGTGGATACTCGACCCTGGCCAGGTTCGGACAGAAATTTAGAAATCATGTTGGGTCTGGGTCAAACCTTAGGCTTGATGTCTAGAGCACTCAAATGTCAGTACACACAGTACAAACTCAACTGCATGAGCTCATGTCAAGTTGGGACATTATATGATATAAGCTTGTGGAGTCTGGGTTGGGTTCGGATGTCACACTCTCAGGCATGGGTCAGATTCAAACAAAAATATGCAGCCCGATCCATGCTTTAATATGGAGCAGCTCTCAAACATACAGAAGTGGGCTGTATGGTCATTTCTAAGAGTTAAGAGTTTGGAAATCCCCTCTATATGAAGCTTATAAGATGATCTCACTGGACCCCCTGTATCTGTACTGCATGTATGCAATGCACAGATAAGATCAAATAAGAATTCATCAGTGCAGCTCCCATAAGGTTGAACTATAGTTTTATTAGATAATTAAATATTAGGACTCAATATTTAACAAAAGAAGTTGCTAATGTAAACTATTTAACAGTGGAAGAGGTTAAGGAAAATAGCTGGGGATGAAAAAATGAAAAAGAACAAATTCAGAGAGGGGAAGACAAAACTAAAGGCTTGATGAATGAGCTGAGAAGCTAAGGCCTCATCTCCTTCCTCTACCTGCTTCTCATCATCCAAAGGATATTATGACACACGCTGCCGGCAAATGTTTACATCCACTGCAGACACACACCACACACACTCAGCAGAATTGTTAATGTCTCATCACAGCACACAACCACACGGTAAGACAAACCAGATCCCCTGTCCATGTGTTTCAGAAAGGTCCCGTAGTGTTCATCAGTGTCAGGAAGTTGACTGCTTCAAGGTGACTGCCACATGGAAATCATTTCAATGAGATTAACATTTAAGGAACAATAATAGCCAAATGTATCCATCTATAGCCAACATTTTCATATCTAGAAGACATCAATTAAATGTATATATCAAGCAGAGGGACAAGCAGATGAGAGAGGTAATAGTACGTAGTACAAATGTTCCTTCGGCGACCGTGGTGCGGTGGGTAGAGCAGTCGTTTCCCAACCACAAGGTTGGCGGTTTGAGTCTCGGTGCCGGCAGTCCAAGTGTCCTTGGGCAAGACACTGAACCCCCCCGTTGCCCCTGATGGTTAAAGCCATCGGTTGAGTTGGCGCCGCAGATGGCTGCCATTGGTTCTGTACCGGAAACAAATTCCTTGTGTGTGTAACATACTTGGCCATATAATTCATTCTATTCTATTCATCATTTATGCAGCCTTTCCCAGGTTATTATACTACTTATTAGTAGTAGTAGTAGTAGTAGTTCGCAGTTTTTAGTTGCACATTATGTTCCGTTTAAAATTTAATTCAAAAATTATAAACTGTTGTTTACAAAAGTGAATAGGCTAATAAATGACATAATTTATATGGGCGGCTGTGGCTCAGGAGGTAGAGTGGGTCGTTTCCTAACCGGAATGTTAGCGGTTTGATTCCCGGCTTGTCTAGTCAACATGTCGAGTGTGCTTGAGCGAGACACTGAACCCCCAGTTGCTCCTGGTGATAACACCGGTTTGTGAATGGGCAAGTAGTGTGAAAGTGCTTTGAGTGTGCTGCAATGCATAGAAAAACACTATACAGGTATAAGACCATTTATCATTTTTATCCTTATTGTACCAAAAAGGAACTGAACTGGAATTTCTGTGTACCACTACACTCCTAGTACCTCCCTATCTTCTCAGCCTGATCTCAGCAAGCTTGTCTGGCAATTAATGTTCAGGAATTTTCCTTGTGGGCCGATAAGTGTTTCTCTCAAACCGCTATACAAAGTCCATACAGATAACAGTTATTCAACAGCTGCAGTGACACTCTCGGTGCAGCCTTAACAGCTGTAAGAGCTGTTGCCAGCGCATCTACAAAGTAGATGTGGTAGCAAAACTTGAAACTTGGAGAGATGAAAAAACCCAGAACCACAAACCAGAAAAGGAACAATAGAAAAAGAAAACAGACTTGTGGGCTGACGCTAAGTGTGCAAAAGTAGTTAACGGACCATAAACTATAAACAGCTGCTGCATGTGATGATGAGCAAAGCAACAAAGAGGCAGATGCATCAGACAAATGAGTGCAGGATCTGTGCTGCTGACAGTTTGTCGTAAATAGAGATAATAAGGTTCGGGACTGGGACCTGACCCAAACTACACCCCTTCTGTTTTTGTACCATTTAAACCCACTGAAACTGTCAGGTCCGCTAGGCGCCACCTGCCTCTCTTTTGCCTTTCTCTCTCCTGCTCGCTCTTTTTGTGGGATCAGCGCCTCAACTGTGTTGCATGTTGTAATCAGTGACTTGTGGATTGTCGCGCACAGCTGGGGCACATCACTGTAATCACCCTCCTACCTTATTTATACCTTTGGCGGACGCTCTGGTGGGCGCTTCGTCATTGCCGGAGCATTAACTACTGTAACGTGCATACCCCGTAACAGCCATATATTTCATGGTATGTATTTGTACATCACTATGTTTTCCACGCTGACAGTTCCTGTGCTGTGGATCTCTCTTTGTTTTTTCCGTGAGGTTAGCTAGACATATTTTTTGTTATCCACGCTGACAGTTCCTGTGCTGTGGATTTCCGTTTTCGTTCGTCCGTCCTCATGGTTAGCCTGTCTATTCACCTGTCTGTCCTCATCCTCCTGCTCACCTTAGTCTTGCCGTTAGTTTGTCCTTGTACTGTATTCATTGACTGTTTCTTTTGTGTGTGTGTGTGTGTGTGTGTGTGTGTTCCCCACCATTAAACCTGAGTCCTACCATAGTTCTCCCTCACCCTCCTGGTGAGGGGGAAAAACCATAACAGAAACCTCCATGCTTCCAGGTCTTCTTTCATTATTCTACACCCCCTCTTTTTTTTCTAATCTTTGTGCATTCAGCAGTCCCAGTTGCTGTTTAGTGAGCTTAATGGCCACAGCTTGTAGTACAATATCTCACTAGTAGTGTGTACATGTGTATTTTTTTCAGCATGGAGATCTGCCACCCAAAGAACAACATCACCATGTGCCCCTTGTGTGACAGAGTGTGCAGCTACTGGAAACTTAGTACTGCCTGTGGAACCGCTCGGGCCAGCCACCTGTTCGACAACCCTGCCACTGTTTTCTTCTCTATATTCATGGCTTTGTGGGGTGAGTGAACGTGAATCAGCTCACTTAAAAATACACAAATACAATCAGGATCCACAGTATCAGGCTAAACCTTGTGGTCATTTGGAAGCTGTAGTCTGTGACACTATCCAATAGCCCATCATGGTGAGCAATTTTCTCTTACTAGTGCATCTGGTCACTCGATTACAGATGAACTATGTGTAGGGGTCTGCCTCTGTGTATCTGTCTAATCTTTCTCTCTGGTTCAAAGCTGCCATGTTCATGGAGCATTGGAAGAGGAGGCAAATGAGACTGAACTATGAATGGGACCTGACTGGGTTTGAAGACGAGGAGGTGAGTGATGCCCAAACCATAGGCAGCAGACAACAACACTCAGTGAGTAGATGAATAGTGAAAACAGAAAAGGACACCTGTATGAAGAGCTTCGTTAGCTTTGGTGTACATATGACTTGTTACATGTTGGCACAAATATAAAGGTGGTGCAGTTCTAATTGTGTGATCAAGAATCTGGTTTTGCTTGGGGTGTGTACTGTATCTCCTTTCCAATAAACCAATAGAGCAAATCAGATTTTCCTGTTCCTTACAATTACTTGAAACACAACAAAACATGTGGAGTTATAATATGGACTGTACCACAAGACCATTAGACCTCACCTCCAGCCTGTTCTCATTGTTACAGCTGCTGGTGCCAGGAATGTTCTGATTAAATGATATATGCCATTCACAAACAATTCAGAAAAGTGAGCTCTGGCTATTCTTGCATTAAAGTGATGTGTAGACCAAAATGACCCATTTGATGATGGGACCCTCATTCACTAGTAGGAGGTTAACAACTGTAAACCTTATTTAAGTTTGTGATTATATCCCGAGACAGGAATTTAAGTTGATAATATTCAACACTCATCTGTGGTACTCAAGAGTGTAATAAATTACTTTATTATTATACATTTTTTATTATGCCTGCATGGCGTCAACAGCCATAGCTGAAAGAATTATGTTTCTGAGTTATTCAGGAATGCTTTTAGGATCTTTATTCAGAGTTGCCACAAACATCTTGGACTTGAGGACTTTGAGGCAAAGCTCTCTATCAGTGTCCTGTAGTCCCCTGTAAAAATAGTCTCTAAATAAAAACAGAAACCCATTGGAAATTATTCATTATAATCATATATGTTTGGCAAAAACAGAAAACTTTATTTTTTATTAAATTACTATATAGGTCTGAACAGACATGCTTGTAAGCTGCAGTTTGAATGGTTCATAGTGGCAATCAATCGCTAAGGCAGTAACGCGTTTTCTTTATGTATGGTGGCCCCTAAGGACAAACCATAAACAAACAGCAGTTAAATTAGAGGAAGGAATGAGCTCTTTCACCTTGCATTCACACACTGTAGTATTTGCTATCAACAGCAGGATGTCTCTTAAAACCTCTTCACTTTCCTGTGCATTTGGAGAAATCTTAGATTACAAGGGCTTATTTCCTCAACATGGTGTAAATGATGTGTATTTGATGGCAACTGTGTTCACTGAGGCCATTTCTGGACATTACCAAACCATAGGTCAGACATGCCCCTAAGGAGTTTGGTCTTTTTATTATATTTTCTAGTAATTATAATAATCTTTAAATATTGATTGTAAATATAACTTCATTTTACTTCACCCATCTTTAGATCTACATGCACACTATTATGCCTTTTCCTAATTTTTGGAATATAATAAGGAAGAGGAGGTTGTACCCAAGGTATAAATTTCACAAAGCCACATGGCCATGACTGTCCTTGTCCTTGCATCTGGCCATGATGCCCTCTATATTTGTCATAGTTACATGGCCACAGTGGTCACTGCACCCTCATCAAATCTGAGAGAGCTCTCAACTCCATCAGATCTTGTCAAGTCCAACAGATGTGATGAGTGATCTCACCAAGTCTTTAAGGAGATTGGTGCGCTTACTGAAGTCAGGAGCACTCCTCATAAAACCTCAATGGTAGTGACATATAAGTTGCCATAATATGTTGTAGAATTGAATGTTATTCACTCTTTAACACTGTTTGGTGACATCCATTTTATGAATGGTTGGTGAACTTCTGTTGTCTAGGTTTGCTGCATCTATGCACTATTTTTAGCTCAGTGTGTGTGTCAATCAAGCCAAGGTCGCTGGGCATGAAATACTCAAGTCTGTGGGGATTCCCCTGGTGTTACTGGGTTAGCAGTTCAAGGGAGGTAATGTTCGGCAAAAGCTGTAAGAAAACTCAGCTCTTTAAAGGCTGTTATTTTCTCTGTTATAGGAAATATCACGTATGGTAAATCAACAGTACCAAAATATAAAGTGACACTGTAAGCCATTCTACATTTATTTTTAGTTTTCACTGTGCCAGAAGTCATTCTGTCATCATGATGCCAGAAAATGAAATAATTGCACCTGTTATAGTAATTAAGAGAAGTCAGACATTTTCTCTTTAATACATCCATGCTTTAACACAGTGGTCCCCAACCTTTTAATCACTGTGGACCGGTCAATGCTCGACAATTTTACCGCGGCCCTGGGGGGTGGGGGGTACGTAGGTTGTTTGTTTATATTGTTAATATAATAATAAATGTGAATCCACTGTGTTGAAATTTTTAACTCTCCATAACGCTAAATCAATGGGAGCCCTGAACTTGTTTCTCTGCAACGAGACGGTCCCATCTGGGGGTAATAGGAGACAATGACACCCGAAGTGTGTTGCTTATGTTCAGTCTACTCTGTTGTTTTGTTTTTGTTGCTGTCACTGCAGAAAAACCCGCTTCACACAGATGGGATGTCGGAGATGGCAACAGGGTTTTCAGTGCTGTGGTGGCGATCTCAGGGTATTCTGTCATGACTTTAATCCAGAACACCGGCAGAGTTGTTGTCTCGAACATACTTTTAAGGCCGCCGTCATTTGCGATCTCCAGCAGTTGATCTTCTTCTTGCACAGACCTGCTGGATTCACCTGGTTTGTTGACAAATGGGTTGCGGATCCATTCCTTGGCAGTTCGTGGGTCCTTTGTGGTTGGGAAGTAGCGCTCGAACTCTTTTATAAGCAAAGACAGGTGATCGTGCACCAGCTGGGAGAGTGAAGGCTCAGGCTCAGTCTCACCCAAAATCCCCGCTAATGTTTGAAACATGTCCAAAATGCCTCTGTTGACGCGCCGTCCCCACAAATCCAGTTTGGCTTTAAATGCAGCTACTTTATCTGCCAACTTGAAGACAGTTGTCATTTTCCCCTGAAGTGACAGATTGAGTTCATTGAGCAGGCTGAATATGTCGCACAAGTAAGCCAGTTTTGGCGCTCAAGTGACCGAGATGTAACCGAGAGAATACGGTCATTTTTCAAAATAAAAGATCGTTCAGACTCAGATAATAAATAAAACGGAAATAATTAATGATTTCTTGTGCGGCCCGGTACCAATTGATCCACGGACCGGTACCGGTCCGCGGCCCGTGGGTTGGGGACCACTGCTTTAACAGACTGACAGCTGGATCAGGGGTCATCTTATTATTCCTTGGAGTCTAAATTTGCACAGATAATACCATGTACTATAATAAAGGTGCATAGTTGCTGCTGTTGCCAATACAGCATTATGAAATATCTCTGCAGATTTCCCTTAAACAGCTCTACAAGCACATGCAGTTTAAGTTAAATCTGTATGTTGTATTTATATTGTGAACAGATCCATCAAACCATAGTTTGTAATATCACCGGTCAGACTATATACATATAGCTATACAAATACAGTACATACATGTTATTTGTCTACTGGCCTTAGTGCCCAGATTAGGGATGGCTAATGAATCCCAGTGCCAACATGGCACCGGTTCCTGTACAATTGGTTTCTTCCAGACCAAATCACAATGCAGATTTTGGTGCCTCATTTCAGTGCCACTTAAATATCTGTTGATTGAAATATTTGCCCTCTGGTGCTGTGAAATGGACGATACAGGCAACAGAAGCATCATGGCACATCATGTGCTAATGCTGTCATTACATTTATTCTGCGTTCCATTTACCTGGAGCTTGGAAGTCAGATCTGGAAATGAATGGGAATGTTTTTTTAATGTCATCAGCCTTTGTTTTATGGCACCAGAGTAAATTTCAAGGTGGAGTCCAACTCAAGCCACTTGAGAGATGAAGCTGCGCTTTATGCCTTCTCCACTCTTGCCACTTGAATCTTGTTCTGTCTCAGTATGAAAATGCAGCATTTCATTCATTAAACAATTACACTGCATCAGAATACAATCCAACAGTCAAATGTGTTGCTTACAAAATGTATCTGCATTTGCAGATTAGTTGCAGAGGAACATTTGAAGAGACAGGGTGACTGAACCAGTGGGTGATAAACTAGTAATCTGTATGTTAAGACAGTGCAGTGATACCCAGCCCTTAAACCCACGTTCCGCTCCTTGTGTTTTAATGAAGCTGTATTGACAATATCATTTTACAAAGTCCACATAACTGCGGGGTTATAACAGCAGCTGTGTGATATATCAGCTTTCAAATGAGTGTTCACAAAGATGTTTTCTTCTTCATTCTAGCATTATTTATTATTTCTTAATGTAACTTAAGCAAGTTAACCGTGTCTTTTCGGTTTTAAAATGTTTTGTGTCTCTTTATCAGTTCTTTAACACAGTAAACATGTGTTCTGAAATTAATGTATGTAATAATCAGAGTTCAAGTTATTATGGTTGTTTTTACTAACACTCTCCAAACAACTCTCCACACCCCTGCCTTCCCATCTACCTCTCTCTCTTTTTCTCTGTCTCTCTGGGTTTGTTTTTCACAGGAAGCGCTCAAGGTTTGGATACATTTATATTTCTAGATAAAGTTCTCTTTTTACCCTTTGTAACCTTCTCTGCTGCTGCCACTCTGATCAAACTGATAGTGCAACATCACACAAGGCTTATGCAATTAACTGTAAATTACAGCCTATGATTACAATTTATAAATGAAGTACAACCTAAACCATTCCCAAAAAACTCTGGAAATATAGAAAGCAACTGCACAACAACATGCAAGTTGGTTTTCATGTAAGGCTCGTTTCTGGAAAAACCTGATTATAAGTGTGAGTTATGATACTAGAGAACAATGGGCTTCATGTAATTTGCTAACTATTGCTTCTCTCTCTGACAGTCACACTGAATGAAGCCTGGAATGGATGTAAGAAACTTATATACTGCAACTAGTGATGCACAAAATAAGTCAAATAGGATAATCTTATAATACTTCTGTATGCCTATGATACATTTTTTAAGTTTTGTTTTGGAGTGAAAATTAAATTCAATTCAGTTTCATTTGTATATTACCAAATAACAAGTAAGATCTAACTATTATAATAATAATCCATCCATTTTCCTCCGCTTATCCGGGACCGGGTCGCGGGGGCAGCAGTCTAAGCAAAGATGCCCAGACTTCCCTTTCTCCAGACACTTCCTCCAGC